ATGAGCTGCTGGGTGCGCTGCCTTGTTGGCGAGCCTCCTAGTGTAGTGCAACCCGACTGCCCTCTGCATGAGATGATCTGCTCCTCCTTGTAGTTAGCGGGAGTCGATGAACCTGCGAGAACTCCATTTTTCATCTCCGTTATCTTTGGGGGTCGAAGTCCTTATATAGTGGCGTCCTGTCAAATCAGGCGTAACAACCTCTGTCTCTCTGTCGCAGCCGTTACTGCCAGAGCTGAGGTGACTGGTGCAGGCGGCTGTTGCAGAGTACGGCTTTGTCAAGCAAGGGACAGCTCTCAGGGCTGGCAGGCACAACGCCGCCTGACAAGAGACGTGGGCGCAGGTCTCTAGATCTGTCAGGTACGGTTGTCAGGCAGGAGATCTTCCTGCGATATGCCGAACTGCCCCTAAGTGGAGAGCTACCTATGCCAAGCTACCTGTAAGTGCCGAGCTCTTCATAAGACGCCAGGCTGCCTGTGGAGTGGCCAGCTGCCTATGCCGAGCTGCCCCTAAGTGGCGAGCTCTTCGTAAGACGCCAGGCTACCTATAAGTGCCGATCTGCCCCTAAGTGGCGAGCTACCTAGTTGTCAAGAGGCTGCACTTAGTTGGCATGAGGTGCCAGAGTGTAACTCAGCGAAGGGAGTAGATTTCTTCTTTTGGCCCGTAAGTCGACGAGCTAGTAAGTGCTGATCCAATTCCTTAGGCTTTGGGAGCTGCTTGTATGTGGCGAGCTGCCCATAAGGTGAGGAGGTCTCTGCCAATTCACTAGTGTAGCCCTTAGGATCTGGGGGCAACTTATAGTTCACTTTTGCTGATTTTGCCCATGTTGAGGAAGCAACTGGGTTTTTAGCAATAATGTGGCCCGTAGAGACACGTAGTCCACTCTTCTTGACTTTTCCCATGCCGAAGAGGCGATTGGGTCTTAAGCAGTAATGTGGCCCGTAGGCTTTGGGAGCGACTCGTAGTCCACTCTTCTTTGGCTTTGTCCGTGCCGAAGAGGCGACTGGGTTTTAAGCAGTAATGTAGCCCGTAGGCTTTGCTTGTGAGGTGCCGAGCTGACCAGGTGCCGAGCTGCCTGCGAGGTGCTGAGCTGACCAGGTGTCGAGCTACCAGTGAGGTGTCAGGCTGACCGGGTGCCGAGCTACCTGTGAGGTGCCGAGCTGACTAGGTGCCGAGCTGCTTGCGAGGTACCAAGCTAACCAGGTGCCGAGCTACCAATGAGGTGCCGAGCTGACCAGGTGGGTGCCTTAGAGCTATGATTGCGCTGCATTAGCTTCGTAATGCCGGTCACCCACTCCTACAAGAAGCTACTAGGAGCTCGACCTTTGGGGGCAGCACTACTAACTTTAGGTCGCCAGCTCACACGGGAGCCTTGGAAGGCTCGACCAGTAAGGGTGCCTATGTAGTCTGTTGGCCGCCAACTCCCGCGGAAGCCACAAAGAGCTCATCTTTGTATGGGGGACCTTGCGAAGAAGACTGATGAGGCTTTATCCAAATTGAAAGTAAAGTTACTTAGTTTGTTAGCTCCCTGCATAGTCTTTGAGTTCATAAAAAATGTAAACTATAAAGCGAGAGTTTCAATTTCTTAAAAAGTGAGGACTTAGCTTTTCGGGAGAAGAGGACTTAGCTTTTGTAAGATAAGAATTTAGCTTTTGTAGGGTGAGAACTTAGCTTTTGTAGGATGAGAACTTAGCTTTTTGTAGCGTGTTCCCACAGACGACGCCAATTGATATAACCGTTTCTGGCCACGTACCAATTTTTTTTTCGCGATGTATCAATTTTTGGTTAAGTACTTCGTCATTTGACCTGCTTCCAAGTGGCTTGTGATTCAAAGGATGATGGAGATCCCTGGTGGCGAACTCCCTGGTGGTGAGCTACTTGGTGACGAGCTCCCTGGTGGTGAGCTACCTGGTGACGAGCTCCCTGGTGGTGAGCTCCTTGGATGAGCTGCTGGGTGCGCTGCCTTGTTGGCGAGCCTCCTAGTGTAGTGCAACCCGACTGCCCTCTGCATGAGATGATCTGCTCCTCCTTGTAGTTGGCGGGAGCCGATGAACCTGC